GGGGGGGGGGGGGGGGGGGGGGGGGGGGGGCATGTTTTTTTTTCCGGCGCACATGGCGCGCACAGGCCGCAGCGCGCGCTGCTAAACCTGCGCACAGCGCACAGCGCACCGGGGCGCACCCCGCACCGCACACGTGCTCCGCAACTATGGTCATGACCAATTTGTAGGCAGGGTCTGGAATGGCAATGCCTCTACAACTGCGGCCGGCGTGCCTCTGTGCTCCTAGCACGTAGGAGCCACGTAGCCTGTGACATCTGTCTACGCTGTGCCATTCAATGCAGCAACTGTGACTGCGAGAATTGGATGCAGTGCTTCCACAGTCCACACCCAAAACGGTCCTGTCCAGTTTGTAGGGGTGGCCACTTACCATAGGCAACAGCAGCTCCTCACCTCCAAATCATCTGCAACCCAAACACTGACTGGCCCCTTGTGCCATTCTACAGTTAGACTGCTCCAGCGGTGATTATTTAGTACCCTGTGATTCGTTACATGGATTCGCTGTACCTCTGTTCTGTCCTTTGCCACTCCACTTTCTCCCCTACCCCTTCGCCCTCCCCTGCCCCTCCTTTCCCTGTAGAACTCCACCTCCTACCCCTTCCCTTCCTCCCTCCCCTTGTGTACTACTAGTAAATGTTTACCGATGAGCATCAACAGAAAAATATAAGCTGAAGATCTGAAGAAAAATAAACAGGAGTATACCTCCCTTTTTACTCTGCCTCCTTTTATAACGTGCGAGTGTGCCATTAAAGGCACACAGAGATGTGGGCCGCTGGCACTCGAACACAATCGACATGGCCAGCCTTGTACGCAAGAGGTATAGTAAAAGGGGAGCTGCAAGTACAAATGAAAGGGGTACCCCCAAGAAAGCCGAAGTAAACGTAGTTGGCAAAGGGATTTCAACAGACTTATTAGCCTCCATATTACTTGCTATAGAAAGAAAACTGTTTCATTGTTGCAATGTCTCAACTCAAGTGCGCTTTGTTGTCTGCAATAGAACTAAAGCTGCTGCTATTTTGGTTCTACTCATCTGCGTTGATTGAGGGCTTTCGTGGTGAAAATTCAAAACACACACCGCCCTGATGAGTCAGTGAAAGTCCAACGAAACAGTCTGGTACAGTCATGCTTTTTTGTGGAGGTGTGTATTGCGAACATGACAAAACACGCACACACACTTGTGCACAGAGACACCAGAGAGAGAGAGAGAGAGAGAGAGAGAGAGAGAGAGAGAGAGAGAGAGAGAGAGAGAGAGAGAGAGAGAGAGAGAGAGAGAGTATTGCCTCTTGTAGTACAACAGGCACGGGGCTGCAAAAAGGATGGGGAGGTGTGACTTGGAAGGGGCCCCACAAAAGGTCAGGAGGCACAGATGCGAACTTCACTTCACAGCATATGTTATCCCAGGAAGGTTGCATTCCATCGGGCCCATTTCTTACGTGATGGGGTCCATTTCTTACAGGATGGGCCCCTTTTCTTACATCTCTTATTCCATGGGCATAGGTCCCTTTTCTTACACAACGTCTGAACGGTTCTTATCCCGTCCAAGGTAAGGACAGAAGATAAAATTTGGAAACACATGGGGTGAAAGCAAGACGAGAGATGAAGGGGACAGGTACAAAGAAGAACGAGAGCAGGTGAGGAGGGAGAGAGAGCAGGAGGAGGAGGAGGAGGAGGAGGAGGAGGAGGAGAGGAGGAGGAAAGGAAAAAAAGGAGGAGGACAATGAGGAGAAGATAGATCAAGGAAGAGGAGGAGGAGGGGAAGCAGCAGGGCGTTCAACTCTGCCACTTGCATGCATCACATTGGAATTCATTCGCACCACAAGTGTCCATGAAGTACCAGTGCAGTCCCACCTATTAAGATGCAGTCCCACCTACTCAGATGCAGTCCCATATATTCAGGTGCAGTCCCACCTATTCAGGTGGGACACCTTTTCCGGGACGGTTGAGAACGTGAGGTGACAAACAGACGTATGTTGTTTGCAGGGGTAAGAAAGAGGGGCAAGGGGTTGTCGACAATTTGAGACGGGTGCAGAACTCACTGAGATTGCAAGAGCTTCATCTCTTCTCCATGTCTTGCATCAAAGATCTCCTCCAACATCTGCATTTAGCACACACACACACACACACACACACACACACACACACACACACACACACACACACACACACACACACACACACACACACACACATCAGTTATGGGGCATTCGATTGAGGCTTTAGATCAATGGATGTTCAGCTTAGCAACAGAACAATTGATTTATCAATACTCCATGCATGCAGAGAGAGACATCTTTTTTTTTAGATGAATGGCTGCTTCGCAGGGCCCTAGTGCCAAAGGATGACGCATAACCTTTGGCAGTCAATGCTGTATGCATGCAGAATGACAGTTCTTTTTCTTTAATCGGCGGTGGTCAGGGAGTAGGGAGGGGACGCCAGTAGGGGGGGAGGGGAGGGGAGGGGAGGGGGGGGGAAAGGTCGGGGGTGGCTAACGCAAAGACCGAGCATTTTGCCAGCCCATCTACTTCCCCCACCCCCCATCAAGTAGCGGCAGCGGCTATGGCCAACACTCCCACACACCACACACAACCCACTCACACTCACACTCACACCAGTGTTGGTCATAGACCCTACTAATACCGATCCGGGGCATCAAGCGGACTAACATGCATCCCCTTAACTGTG